ATAACTTCTATAATTGATCATGCATAAGAGCAACAATAAAGCTTTTATTGTTTGAGATTTATTGTTTGAGAGGACAATGAAATGTGCGAAACTGAAAAGGCGTCGATTTCTTTTCAAATGAAATGTTTTGTTTCATTAAATTCTGTCTCCGGATTAGTAGTTTTCAACAATTTAAACATACTGTTTTGTAAACTTAGATTGTTTTAGATTAAACGATAATAGAATATACAAATTAAACCGGAGCTTTCATTCTACATTTTGTACAAAAATAAGTTTTGTATAGTTTTTTCCTTGTGATCGCTTGATATTCATATTTCATATATTGATAAAAATCTACCACGTTGACATGTTTTCTTTTCATTTTGAATTCAATTGTTTTCAAATTGAAAGGCAAAAAGCAATTAAGCGTAATACTTATTTTGGGCAATTAAATCACTATAAAAGACTTGTTTATTACTTAAAGATAAGGTTACACAAACCATTTGTATGTAACAATATTATATTAATGTATTATGTTTCTTATTTACTGGACCATATCATTTTAATTACATGAAGTACCTGAAAACAAATTGATTCTTCACGACGGGCATATGCACGCAACATCTTACGGTGTTTATATATCTCGTTAATTAGATTTGCTAGAACTTGTAACAACGTAATCGATTTTAACGAGCAAAATATTTTCATTACTGACAAGCTACTCAAACAGGGCTACCACTATTATTAATTACGTAAATATTTTACAATCGTAAATTTGATTAATTTCAAAATTTAATAGTAATCTAAAAACGCTTCTGTGACAAGGGATTAGCCAGCCTGATTTTTACGGGGATGTTATTTGATCTTGGGTCATTGTAATTTTTCTATTGTCTTTACTAAAATTTATTAAACGTTTTATTCAAAGGGGTTATGATCCTACTATTTTAAGACATACCGCATGCTTAGTATTCAACCTTTTACAGTTGGACGCTACGCTTTCCTCTTTTAATACAACTTCTGATGGGCCAAGTGGGAGACTAAGAAGCCCTTTGGGCCTGAATTGTCTTAATGTTGGTCTTCTGCCTCGCTTATTTGGTGATTTACTTGTTGCTTTGTCTTCATTTAAGACATTGAGTACTTTTGTTATGGTCATTGGGTGTTCTTTTATATGTTTCTGCATGATCATTTCGGTGTTTTCCTTATTTCACATTTTGAAACAATACCAACAGTAAGAATTTCATTGGGCGGAGATGGATTCATTTGATTGACACATGGTTGTGCTAAGAGTGCGGTTTGGTGTACCATTTACCGGTTTAAACTCCCAAGCAGTACTTATGCTGCTGACCGTTCCAAAGTGGTGCCCCTCTAGTTTCCTCAGATGTATGTATTTGTTGTTTCATAATTCTGTGGTGGCACTTTTGTGTCCCTTCTTGTTATTTCGTCTACGGTGAGTATCTTCCCTTTCCCCCTAGTTTTTTTTATTCTGCCCCTCCCTTTCCGCGTACTTCAAGTCTCTTTCCCTGTGCCCCTCTAACATTGTGAGCCTATTAATCAATCCATTGAATTTAATTACCTTGTCGATTACTATTATTTCTTTATATGTATTATTAAAGTGATGTTCCTGTCTGTGCTCTGTATTGTGACCTGTCCTGTTTTTGTTTTGGGTCTTCATGTGCTCCTTACACTGGTCATAGTTGCTGCGTTGTGCGTGTGTGCGTTCATTGAACACCGTCTTTCATTGTTGATCTTTTTTATTATATTTTATTGAGTGTCAAATGACGATTTGACTCAATAACCAAATTTAGTTGTTTTAAAGAAATTTCACTTTGTCCGATGATCCAACCAACGATCACTGCATGGCTTCCATAATGAGCTACGTTGTAGGACAGGTTCATGACGACAGTACATATATTAAAATTATTGATTCAGTCGGAATTTACACAAATTGTGTGCGACGGGTACTTTTAACAAGATTCATCTACTTTATATCTAAACGACACCTTTATCACCATGTGAAAAAAGTTTGTAATTTCATATGCTTGCAAAACACATTTTAAAATATGTTCCACTTGATTGACAGCTTATCTATGAAATGCAGGCTTCTTAACCTCTGATCCCCTTTCAAAATGTCACTTTATTTAGTTCAGTCCATTTTAAAGGGCACAAGCATGTTTTTACTTGGAGACCATAAATTATGCCGCTTTTCGAGGAACGGCACTAACATGTCACATTGACGGTTCCATGATAGCCGCCATATGAATACACCTGCGGACGTTTTAGAATTCAACATTTTACCAGTTCATGTTAAATGATGAATTCTGCTTAAGCCGGTGCTAGGCGTCCTGGACGCTAACTTGCACATTCCAGTTCGTCCATGAATAGGCTTAATCAAACTGAGCATGCAAAAGTTTCCATTTTGTCATGATGGGCTTTCCTTAGGGATTCTGTTTGTGTCTGTATTGTTTAAAATCGAAAAAATAGCCTCTTACAGAACGCATGCCATATATAAGGTCAAATTTCACAATTAATTCACAAAGTGTCATTTAGTCTTTAAAATTGATTATTTACAAAATATAGTAAAAACTTTGCATGTATGAAAGAAATTATTTTGTTACACCAAGAAGTCATTGTTTGAGATTATAACTTGATAAAAAAAATTACTATGAATGGCTATAACTGCAATGTTTATTTAAATTAATATTATTGTGTCGCTTCGAAAAAACGACATATAGATGTTTCTTATGTCGTTGTCGGCGTCGGCGTTCCCTTAAGCTTGTCCGGAGCATATGTTAGTCTTTTAAACTTGGTATGCATACTTCATATAATGACCCGAAGTGCAGTGCACAAGAATCGTTATTCTGCACTTTTTTTTAATAGTTATTTTCATATTTTATTTTTATCCTGGCGATTTCTCATTAATTATAAAAGCAATGGACTTAAAACTTCATTGAATTATAGATCAAATTGATATGAAGTTCTGTGCACATGAAACGGAACTCTACACTTCTCACTTTATACATTTAATTGCCAGGGCTATTTGCCATGAAATAAAAAGGCTATGGACAGGAAACTTTATAGGATGATAAAAAAGATCTTATTTATCAGAATGAAGTGCACAAAAATTGGTACTCTGCACTACTTTTTTGAGTTATTGCCCTTTGTTAATTTTCATACTTAATTTTTGTCCGAGCGATTTCTCAGAGATTATAAAAGCTATAGACTTGAATCTTCATAGGATTATAGATATTACGTGCACAAAAACTTGTACTCTGCATTTCTTATTTTTTGAGTTATTGCCCTTTTTTAATTTTCATACTTCATTTTTGGTAGGCCCATTTCTGCTAAACTAAAAAACCATGGACATGAAACTTCATAGGATGATAGATATAATTAGGATGAAGTGCACTGCACAAAAACTGGTAGTCTATACTTTATGAATTTAGTTATTGTCCCTTGTTAATTATAATACTTTATTTTGTCCCAGACACTTTCACTTTGAAACTTCAACTGATTAGATTATGACACGAAAGTGCGTTGACTCAAAAGCTACTTTCATGGTGTTTGGACTACCATTTGCGGGCCGTTGTGTATTATATACTTTAGTTTTGTCCGGGCCAATTCTCCTACACTTTAGAAGCTAATGACTTCATTGGACAATAGATATCATTGAGAAGAAGTGGCGTGCACAAGAACTTGTACTCTATACTTCATGATTTTTGAGTTATTGCCCTTTGTTAATTTTCTTAGACCTGTCAAGAGCATAATTTTGTCACTATTATTGACTTCAAATTCGGTATGTAAGCTTTTTTCATTGACCTGAAGTGCAGTGCTTAACACTTTTCCATGGTATATTTATTTTTGATAATATAACAGTGTTATCAATCTTGATGTAACATTGCCACAATCAGTTCAAATGCCAATAAATGTAAAGGTACATGAACATTGTAAGAGCAGTGTTAATAAATAACCTATATTTACGAAGAAAAAGCCTAAGTGTCAGCTATACTGTTCACAGAGTGACAAACCCGACTTGCGGAGTTTATTTAAGATTATTTTGGTAAATAACAAAAAAGACCAACATCAACAAAAAAGAACCTTGAATTGTCCATGACCGATTCATAGTGTGTAAGATTCACGTCTTCTAACGTCTGTCAGATGACAGAAAAGTACACATTTAAATTACTATTTCATTTCATGTGGATATAGTGCAGCTGAAATTAACAGTGTCATGTCTGGGCCAATTAAAAGGCACCTTTTGAAATGGAAGATTTTTCCTAAACGTCTTGTGTCGCCCTTTCGTGTTTTATAAGTTAAGTAGGTCCCAATAAGACTCCTGTCCCAGACTCACAAGCGAAGGGCGGCGTTCAACTCCACCACCCACACACACACACAACCCACCGCACAACACTCGGAACCTCACCACCGACACTCTCGACCACTCCCACCGCCAAGGACACGGCCACAGGCCCAAGCAGGTTGATTTTGGCCTGCCTCTTCAAGTTGCATTGTTGACGGTTAGTCACTGCTTTCATCCAATTGAACCCAATACATGTACTTCGTTTTGTTGTTTTTCTAATGTTGATCGACATAATTGATTTTATTAAATGTAAATATGATTTTTAATGAATACAACCATTTTAACATTTTTATGCATGAAAGTGAATTCTGCCCGATTGAAATAAGTGCATGAAAATTCCGCGCAAATACAATTTGCCCACATCTTCAACTACCAAAAGCTTAAAGGTCATGCACATATTCTATAGGAACATAATTATATTTCTTTCAATTATATCTATTTATTCAAGCAAAATGTCTTCGTATGTCTGTAAGATGACACGTTCAAAGTAGAGATTGTACTTAATTCATTACAAAAACAAATATTTAAGTAAGTTTACTGCACTGCTTCTTCCTCATTGACGTTTAAAGTTTTATATAGTCAACAAAAGAGCCAGTTAACCATTCAGCTGTAATACATGCGTTCTCTTTATTTACGACGACAAACTGAATACATTTAATATAATTCGGGCTTGTTAAACTAGACGGATTAAATATAATAGCGAAAATGTGGTGGATAAGTGTTTTTGTGTTTCTTTTTCTAATGGCTTTGATATTTAGATCTATTGAATGGTTTTTGCAAAAAATTCCATCAGAAATAGAAACAAAAAATGTAAAAGATTTACCAGTAAAACAATCAAAAGAAGCGGGCGCCCCAAACCAAGGGACACTTATAAAGCGCAAAAGGTGAGTTTTTTTTATTAGATTTTGTAATAATTTATTCACATAAAAATATTTTGCAATACATATTTTTATTTATCTTCGAACCGCAAAGAAAAAATTCGATTTATAGTTTAACGATTAAAATGTAGATTCTGAAATCTAAACATTTTTCAGGGTCGCGATCGCAATTCTCTTTCTGAATAACTGTACTTTTAAATTTTGAAGCCCGAACAATTTCCTGATAAAGATTTGAAAAGATGTATTTTAAGAACTAGTTTGATCATTGAATATGTTTCTGATGAAGACTCGAAACCTTTCGAATATGTTCATGAAAACGCCGTTTTCTGGAAGCTTTGATGACTAGGTTTTCGAATAAATGAATATAGCAACTACAAACCGTTAAAGCATGATTTCATAAGAAACAAAAATTTAAATGACAAAAATTTGAGTCTAATTTTTTCAGGTTTTACTTCAAGTTCAGGTGATTTTTGACACACTGCATGCTTTTGTAGGACTTTTTGGCAGTTCTACAATTTCAATGTAAATCGCGTTCTATTGTCTGCGCCGCTGTGGCGTTACAATGGTAATTTAAGTCGGGCTAGTATGTTTGATATTTGTCAGTGTCGTTGATAGCGACGGTTAAATGGTTATTCCAATCGGCCGGAAATAACTGTCGATAATTCTTGTATATACGCAAATATATTCAGAATTAAAAAAATTTGAACACGTCTAAGTTTTTTGTGTATATTTATTGTTATACAAGAAAGCAATGTGAATACAAATCAGCCAATGAAAAGAATAATTATATTAGGTTTTCTAATAAACTTTTAAGACATGTAAAGACAATCAAGATCCAAGTTATATTTTACTGGTTATGTTCGTTTTAACACTGATTTTGCAGTCATCATAGTTCTACTGCGATCCTAACGCAGTAAGGGCTATTTTTGCATATGTTAACCACTTTGTAAATTTTTGTAGATTGTATGTTCCGTTGCAATATGTAAATTGCATTATTTGTTTACATCACAATATTTTACTTTTAAATACATTTCCACATTGTTTATAAAAATTAACATGAATCTGGAGGCGTGCTGTTTTAAGGGAATATGTGTGCTAACCGTGTTATTTTTGCAACAAAACGTTCAGAAAATGAGAATCTTTATTATGTTTATCCAGTCCGGTACTGCATAAGCTCGGCAGAGGAATTTTTACATTGAAGACGGAGTTCTTCTGATAACTTGTCAGAAGTTCTTCTGATAACTGTCATGGAGTTATTGAAAGATGGTTTACCGAAAGTAACACTCGTCAAAAATTGTAAAATATATATTTAAAGCGCTAAATTTAAGTTTTATGATTAAGATTGCCTTACATATTGTATTATGTGTCTGAAAAGGGCTGAAGGATATCTTGTGAGTTATCAGAAATACTCTTAGATGTTAGAAAAATAGGCATAAATTTGTTAACCGGAGCTTTCTGTTTGCATCTTTTTATTATAATTAGGTAATTTTGTATGACAATGAAGATGAACACTAAAAACAGGTCAATATGTATGACTGAGCAAATATTTTTGAAATTACACTCAAAAGAACCATATTCTTAAGAAGAGGCGTTGAAAAGTGGACTATAGATTTTTTTCTGACACATAATACACTATGTAAGGCAAGCTTAATCAACAATGTTTCGTTTAGCATCTCAAATCCAAGTTGTCCGACAAAATCCGTAACGTTTTTTAGGAACTCCTTGACAGTTATCAGAAGAACTCCTGAAAAGTCATCAGAATAACTACATCTCCGTATATCAGTTTCTCGCTCGTGATACGACAGGATATTGTTTCCTTCAATTTTAGAAAAAAACAATGGTTTTGTTATTGTTAGTAACATGGCATAAACTGTCCAACACTGCATCTCATGAGCAGATGATAAATCCATATCAATGTGTTGTTTTTGACACACATAGAGGCGATGTTTTTCGTTAAATTGATGTTATAGTCAAATTGATCATTGGATTCATATTATGATATTGCTCGCTTTTATCTTGTTTTTGGATGACCTTATTCGGGAAGATATAACAAACACATACACATACACGCACGCACACGTGGTTTTTGTCATTAGCAGGGCGTCCCTGCCTTTGGTCACCGTTTTCAAGTAAGAGCAAAATTTACTTGTTGCCTGAATTTATCATTTAAGTGACAAAATTTTATTCTCCTCAAAAATAAAAAAACCCAAATCTTAAATTGCATAGTCAACAAAATGTAACTCTCCTGTGATGTGCAAGTTTACTCATGATTATCATATTTACCGTTTTAATATTACATATTTTTGTTATATGCCCGTCAAGGGCGACATATTTAACTAACATCGTCTGTCCGTCTGTCTGTCCGTGCGTCCCCACTTACACAACATTTATGTCAGGCATGGATTATATGATTTTAACATAACTTGCCACAATTATCTACCACATCAAGACAATGTGTGGCGTTAAAGAACCACTTCCCTTCGGCAAAGATCAATGCCACACTAACAGCTTGAAGGTTCATATTTTCACAATTAGAGTTTAAAGGTATACACTTTCCTGTCAGAACTGTACACTTGTCAGTATTTAAAGAGTTTAAAATAACATGGCATAATTACCAACCACATCAAGACGACATGTCCCTACCAAGACCCAAGTCCCTACCTTCCAGGTCAAGGTCACACTAATACTTTGAAGGTATTCATTCTCACGAGAAGAGTTTGATGGTAAACATTTATGTCCAGACTATAACTTTCTTCTATGATGAACTCGTCTATAAATCCGCTGTGCAGACTTTGTCATGCATTGAGTGATTCAAATGGCCCAAATGCCTACCACATCAATATGATGTGTCGCGTTTAAGGCAGATGTTACTATCTAAAAGGTCAAGGTCATGCTTAGAGGTTTAAGGTACACAACTTACACAAAAATCATGGCCGGACCTTGACATACATTAAGTAAAGAATAACTAGTTATAAATGTCTACCACATCTAAGACCAATGTCCCTATCTTAAAGGTCAGGTCATACTTTTAGTTTTAAGGTTCACATTCTCACAAGTAGAATTTTAAGGTACACATAATCTATCTTTCATGCATTGGAGGATTTTTAAACAAGAGGGCCATGATGACCCTGAATTGCTCACCAGAAACAATTGTTTTTCAGTGATAGAAATAATTGTTCAATAAACTTGTACAAAGACAAGTCAAGCTCAACTTTAACTTGCCTCTCTAGATATAAAGTTTCCTGACACTGGATTTGTTTTCTTTCTTTCATAATATAAAAATGAATTGTTAATACTTTCTAACAAAATGTCCCAAGTTCATTGTTGCGTAAGCATTATTTGACTTCCGATTAACTTGATTTTTTTCCATTTCAGCCTTACAAAGCAGCACCCTATAATAGAGACAAATTTCAACTCAATATCACAATACTATGATATAAAAAATCCTATTAATATGAATACCTACAATATTAAGTGATCATCCATCCATCCATCCATTCATCAATTAATGGTAAAATTGCTTATAACTGTGTTTCGGACTTGCAATCTTTCTTTTTTACACATCTTACAAAATTAGATAATAACATAATCTCGGTATTTAGATATACATGTAAACTATGTCAGTATGATACCGCAAATCAATATTTATTTAAGGTAACATAGGTATACTAGTTAACTCGACCAGAAAGTTAACGTTACAGGTTGAATTATCTTATTCTCCAATGGAAGTAGGAAAAATGTAGCTTTAACTACATAGAAGAAAAACCAACAGGTTGTTTTGATGAAATGTATTCGGTGAACAGGATAACTCTTTTAATAAAACAACTTTACATACAGGATGGAAAAGTGATATTATGAAACAGTGCAAAATTACTTTGAATAAGTCCATGATAACCAAGTTTGCAAAATGTGATTCTGAATAGAGATAAATGACACTGATACTAAAATAGCACAAATAATAAAAAGAAGACAAATTACATTAAGGCAAGCAAGAAAAACTGCTTTAGTTGACATGCGTTCACTTTGTTCCTGAATGTAAAATGCTAAGTTGCAAGAAAACAATTAACTGAGATCAGGGAAAGTGGTTATTCTAACTTATTCAGCTGGAAAATACCCGATCAGGCTAATGGGAGGCTCACAGGTCCACCGATAAGGCTATACATTATATCATTATTATATTCTCATATAATACAACAGACACTGTAATCTCAGTGAAAAACATTCAAAAATATAAGATAGTGACAAAGAGTCAGTTACCAAGAATCTGACCACATTTATTTAAGCTTCTATATTTATGCTAAAGATAACGAATGCCAAAAGATATGAAATAAAATAATTAAATTTGATTAATTAACAAATGCCAAAAATATTAACCTATTTTCCTGAAATTTCCTTGATACTCCTTTCTTTTAAGATTTTTTTCTAAACGTGTAAATAACAGGTTCTGTATACCTATTAATTAAACAAAAGATGCTGCGCAGGAAATTTCGACAACCATAATGGACTGTCCTCTTAATAGGTTATGTTAGATTTAGCATAATTACTAAATCAACATATTTTTGCAAACAAAAGAGTATTTCTAATATAACAATTTACAACAAATAAATACAAATTAAAGTGATATGAACATAATGAAAACAATAAACAACAAACATTGATTAATTGTTTGCATTAATTCCCTTACAATAATGGAACAAACACTGGATTAGTTCATTAAGTCCAAAAGAGGTTATTCAGGTTTAATTAGTCAAATCTGTCACTAGATTTCTGTAATTTTCACTCTTTAAATGACAAATAAGTTATTCTCTAAGAATATACATTAAATAGTTAAAACTAATAATCTTATTTCAAATTAAAGATCCTGGATTATAATACACAATTTATTATATGGTTATTATATCATAAAATATATGCTCAAATAAGATTTTTTTCAAATTTTGTAAGTTCCAAAAAGCATTATTTATAACGAAATTACCGAATTTAACATTTCACGTTAATAAAGGTAATAAAAAATTTTTCTATAAAGGCTTAGTCAAAATTGTCAATAAGAAATGAATGCATATATATTTCATTGATTACTTCTAATATGTACAAATATTTGCAGTACATATTTTACATATTCTTCGATGTTTGAAAATTGTTTTATGTGGTATAGAACCTCAATTTCAACATACAGGATCTTTAAATCTCAAATATATACTGATTTAAGTAAGTTTAATGTCGTCTAAAACAAAAGTGATACTTGACTCATCCCTAATTCTTTAAATACAATATATCTAAAACTTATTGAAAGAAGTCTAAAAAAAGAAGTTCCCTCAGAATGTGTTCAAAACTCAATATTAACATGAACTGCTGTATTATTTAAGATAGATATTATTTATACTGTGAATAATAAAAATACAAAGAAAATCCTTATTAGAATATTTGAATACTTATAAATATGTTGAAAATAATTAGTCCTTATTTATCTAACCAAGAGTGATGTCTATTCCTAGTTGTCAAGGGAACCATAAATACTTATCAAGATTATCTCCCTTGATCATGATAAGATATCATAAACTAGTTATTGATTAAAATAAATTAACACTGCCAAAACTATAGATTGCAATTTATGACAATATATTTACAAAATGTACAAAATCATTTGAACATATCACAAATTAATTCAGCAGAAGAATTTTGGTGATAATCAAATATCAATTTATTTAGTAAAAGTGGATATAAAAAGTTTTTTTCTCTATTAAATCAGCCTTTAAAGCCCCTAAATTGGACCAATTGAATTAATTAATGAACAAATTTGATAACAGACCATCTAAGAATGCTACTGACAAAGTTTGGAGATCATCCATCAATTGGTTAAGTATAAGGTTTTTGTATTTTTAGCCGAAGGTTCAGGGTGAGCTATTAGTATCAAAGAGGAATAGCCCGGCTTCCGTCTTAATGCGTCAAAAATCATCTTTATTGAAACTAAAGGGCAGATTTACCTCAAATTTGGTCTGGAGTATCATTGTGGCAGTCCCACTAAAATTTGCTCATGTCATTTTAAATGGCCCTTTTTAGGGGTCAACAGACCTAAAAATATAAAACTTTTAAACAGCTACTGATCCTAAATTAAATGAGAAAAGATCACAAAACTTTGTCTGTAGCATTGTTTTGTATTCTTTAATCAAATTTGCTCATAATAATTTGAATGAATTCTTTTAGGGGCAGCTAAAGCTAAAAACTAGAAAAACCTTAAAAAATTGTACTGAACTTATAGATGGATGGATGATCACCAATTCTTTCTACAGAGTAGCTACTTAGATAATGTGTTAACTAATATTTTCTTTTCAAAATTAATTTGGTGATTGGCCCTATTTAGGGGACATCCAGAGCCAAAAATTAAATTAAAAAACAAAAAAACACTTTTAAACCACTTTCTTACCTACTGAACATTAATTGATGGGATGCATTCAACCAAACTTTGTTCTCTGTAAACATTTCTCAGATAGTCTTTTGTTAAATTTGCTCATATTATTTTTAAGAAAACAAAACTTCAATCATATTTTTGTACTGAATTAATTGATGGATGACCAACAAACTTTGTCTGTTGCATTCTTAGTTAGTTTTTTATCAAATGTGCTTGTATTAATTTGATTTGCCCCTATTAGGGGCCGCTAAAGCTAAAACTAAAAATAGCTTTTTAAACAGTACTGGCTTCTACAGAACAATGATGATTATCATAACCAAACTTATTAGTTCCCTTATTAGCATATTTAAGGTAGTCAGGTTTAAGGTTATTCAAGTTTGCTTCATATTAATTTGATATCTGGCCACCTTTATAGGGATTCTATAGGTAAAAAAGAAAATTATTTTTAACAATTCCCTTCTACAAAACTAATAGATGCATGATCGCCAAATTCTGTAGCAATTTGATTGGTCCCTTTTAAGGGCAGCTAAAGATAAAAGTAGAAAAATATTTTAACATCATTTTCTACTAAAATAATTGATGGATGATCACCAAACTTTGTCTGTAACATTTTTATGTAGTCTTGTATCAAGCTTGCTCATAAAAATATGATTGGCCTCTTTTAGGGACCGCTTAAAATGGAAATAACTTTAAACGTTTCCTTCTACAGCACGCATTGATGCATGATCACCAAATTCTGTCTGTATCATTTTTGGTAGTCTTTTATCAAGTTTGGTCATATTAATTTGATTGGCCCCTTTTGGGGGCCGGTTAAGTTAAAAATAGAAAATATTACTGAAATAATTGATGAATGATCACCAAACTTTGCCTGTAGCATTCTGAGGTAATCTTTTATCAAGTTTGCATATTTTAATTTGATTGGCTCCTTTTAGAGGTCGCTAAAGCTAAAAATAGAAAAACCTTTTAATGTCTCCTTGTACAGAACAAATTGATGGATTATCACCAAATTTTGTCTGTAGCATTCATAGGTAGGATTTTATCAAGGCCCATTTTAAAATTTTATTTACCTTTTTGGGGCCCTTTTAAAGCTTAATTTCCTGTCCAAGGATTTTTTTCATATAAAAGTTAAACAAGTTTTTTTGAAAAATAAATTTTTACCATTTAAAAGGGATTGTTTTTGGTGACGCTCGGGGGCCCTCATGCCCCCCTTTTCTTCTATTTCCTTTTATAACACCTTTCTGCAATACTTTTCGGGGGCATTCGTCACTTTTGCATGACAGCTCCTGTTCTCTGTATCATTCTAATGTATTTCTATTTTTGGTTGTTAAAGAGTAATGGAGTCAGAGAATTCACCCAAAAGAAAATCTGCCATATCAGAGACTTCCGAAATTACAGATTCATACGGGAAATCAATATCTGTGACGAAAACAGAATCGAGCCAAATATCAAGGTATGTCAGTTTGTATAAAGAATAAAACATCACACATAATATGTTGATTTTCTTAAATTAAAATGTAAGGGGTACAAATATGGCTTTACGTGTGTGTTCCTACCCGTGTTTGTCATGTCTGTATTGTTACTTTATTTTGTTTAACCAAACCCTCCCCCTTTTTCACCCTTACAGCATTATCCCTTTAATTCCCATATGAATCCGTTTCAGTTTTTATTATTTCACACATTACGTGTCCCTGTCCTTTCTAACGGGCAGATTTACCTCAAATTCGGTCTGGAGCATCCTTGTGACAGTCCCACTTAAATTTGCTCATGCCATTTCAATTGGCCCCTTTTAGGGGTCAACAGAGCTAAAAATATAAAAACCTTTAAACAACTACTGATCCTAAATGAAATGAGGGATGCTCACAAAACTTTGTCAGTAGCATTGTATCAAATTTGCACATATTAATTTACATGACTTCTTTTAGGGGCAGCTAAAGCTAAAAACTAGGAAAACCTTAAAAAGAATTTGTACTGAACTTATGGATGGATGGATGATAACCAAACTTTGTCTGTAGCATTCTTAGATAATGTGTTAACAATTTTTCTTTTCAAATTAATTTGATTGGCCCCTTTTAGGGGCATCTTGAGCTAAAAATTTGAAAACCATTTTTAATCACTTTTCCCACTGAACTAATTGAATGGATGACCACCAAACTTTGTCTGTAACATTCTTAGGTAGTCTTTCCTTAAATTTGCTCATATTAATCTAATTGGCCCTTTTAAAAGCGGCCGCTAAATGTAGAAATAGAATAAACTTTTATCATCTTCTTGTAATAAACAAATTGATGGATGGTCACCAAACTACGTCTGTAGCATTCTTAGGTAGCGTAGTCTTTTGTCAAGTTTGCTCATATTAATTTGATTGGCTCCTTTAAGGGGCCGCTAAAGCTAAAAATAGAATAAACTTCAATCACCTTCTTGTATTTAAGTAATGATGGATGATCACCAAACTATGTCTGTAACATTCTTAGGTATTCTTTTATCAAGAGTGCTTATATTAATTTGTTTGCCCCTTATTAGGGGCCGCTGAATATAAAAATAGAAATTCCTTTTAACGTCTGCTTCTACAGAATTTATTGATGTGTGATCACCAAATTCTGTCTGTAGCATTCATAGGTAGTCTTTTATAAAAATTTGCTCATATCAATTTGATTTTCCCCTTTGAAGGGAAGCTAAAGCTAAAAACAGAAAAACCTTATAACATCATTTTCTGCTGAAATAATTGATGGATGATCACCAAACTTTGTCTTATGTAGTCTTGTATCAAGTTTTCTCATATAAATATGATTGGCCTCTTTTTGGGGCCGCCAAAGCTAAAAATAGAAATAACATTAAACGTCTCCTTCTACAGAACTAATTGATACAGTATCACCAAATTATGTCTGTAGCATTCTTAGGTAGTCTTTTATCAAGTTTGCTCATATTAATTTGATATGCCCCTTTTAGGGCCGGCTAAATTAAAAAAGTAAATACTTTGAACATCATTTCCTACTGAAATAATTGATAAATGATCACCAAACTTTGCCTGTAGCATTCTTAGGTAGTCTGTTTGCTTATATTAATTTGATTGGCTCCTTTTAGAGATTGCTAAAGCTAAAAATAGACATACCTTTAAACGTCTCCTGCTATAAAACTAATTGTTGGATGATCACCAAATTTTGTCTGTAGCATTCATAGGTAGTATTTTATCAAGTTTGTCCATATTAATTTGATTGGACCCTTTTAGGAGTCGCTTAAGCTTAAATGCCTCAGTCCAAGGCATTTATTAAAATTATAGTTAAAGCAAGTTCATTTGAAAAAAATAATTTCCACCATTGAAAAGCAGTTGTTTCCGGTGAGCGACTCAGGGCTGTCATGACCCCCTTGTTTTTCTATTCCTTTCGTAACACCTTTCTGCAATACTTATGAAAACTGTTAGGGCAATTCGTCACTTTTGCGTGATAGCTCCTGTTCTCTATATCATCTTAATGTATTTCTTTTGTTGGTTGTTAAAGAGTGATGGAGTCAGAGAATTCAGCAAAAAGAAAATCTGCCATATCAGAGACTTCCGAAATTACAGATAGGCAGTCATACGGGAAATCAATGTCTGTGACGAAAACAGAATCGAGCCAAATATCAAGGTATGTGAGTTTGTATGAAGAATATTACATCACACATAATATGTTGAAAATATTTTGTTAAAGATAAATATGTAAGGGTACAACTATGGCTTTACGTGTGTGTTCCTTCACGTGTTTGTCATGTCTGTATTGTTACTTTATTTTGAATGTTTACATGTTTTGTGATGTCTGCCTTGTTGGATGGTCGTTAACGGTAGGTATTTACCCACCCCCTCCCATTGATATACCCAATCTCCCCTTTTTTCACCCTTACAGCCCTTATCCCTTTAATTTCCATATGGATCCGTTTCAGTTTTTATTATTTCTGTTCTTCTTTCGCCACCCTTATTTCCACTCCTGGTTTTATTTTGGTGCCTTCTGTGTGCCCTACTTGGGTGTGTTGGGGGGGGGGCTGCGTCATGTGAACGTTGTCTTTGCCTTGTTGATCTTTTTTCTTGTTTTTATTCAGGATTAGCCCAAATTATATATATTTTCTTAACATTAAAGTGAATCACATCTGTTAACATATAGCACTATTAAAAGCGAATTCTTATGTTTAACTTTATTACCGATACAATCTGAACATATTTTTAGAATTAAATAAACATACTTCCAAGATTGACCCAGTTTTAAGAGTGTCTATGTCAGATTCGGTAGCAATATTTATAACTAAAAGCATATTGTAGAGAAAATTTATTTATGATTAATGTTTATATATTTTTCATTTTGAACGTTCAGCGACTATTTTTCCGAAGAAACTGAAATATGTAAAGATAAAAAAGGTGTTGTTTTTGAAAGTATTCAAGATGCGAAAACTTGTCATGACGAATCTAATAGCTCGAGAGAAGATCTTGAATTTGACGTAAGTAATGTATTAAAATACTCATTGACTAATTGTGTGGTACGAAATACTGGAACCGTAATGTAATTCAATTTAAAACACATACAATCATTGAGATAACACTTTTCAGAAAAACAAAACATACTCCAAATCATATATTTAGTTATTTCTCAAAATCTATGATTAAAAAATTATCCCCAAATTCAAAGTGAAAAAGGAAGCAAGTCACGATTAAAATAAGCGCTAAAACGAGACATTTGATTTATTGCTTGAATGTAAAGTTAAGCGTCAAACAATGTCAACCTATTTAGATTAATTGTTCTTTGTGGACTTATGTGCGAGACAGATAAATTGTCGTTCATTTGTGAATAAACATCAAGGGTGTCGAGAAAAGAGAGAATGGCAACTTTGGGGAGTGATTAACGAATGGCCTCAATAACTGGTATAAGTAGAGGATTACTGTTTGTACAATGGTGGACTCAACGTGATTTAAATGTTGCTGTGTCAGGTAATTCTGGTGTTGGAAAATCCAGTCTCATCAATGCTCTAAGAAAGTTAAAGCCTACGGATGATCGTGCCGCCGCAGTTGGTGTTGTTGAGACAACAACAGAAGGATGTTGTTATACTTATCCTGGGCATCCAAACGTAACTATATGGGATCTACCTGGCCTAGGCACACAAAAATTCAGAAAAGATAAATATTTGAAAGACATGAATTTTGCAAAATTTGACGTTGTATTGATCGTTTCTGCTGGTAGATTTCTTGAAAATGATATATGGCTTGGAAAGGAATTACGTGCCATGCGAAAAAATATCATCTTTGTCCGAACAAAAATTGACATTGACCTAAAGAACGCTAAACGTGATTATCCAGACACATTTAGTGAAACGGTATGTTTAGATAAGATTAAATGTAACTTATCAGATACAATTCGTGACGGAGGACTACCAGCTTCAGTTACAGGTGTTTATCTGGTGAGCTCTCCAAAAAGAGAAAAGTACGACTTTATTGAGTTGGATAAGAAATTAAAAAATATGCTCAGCATCAAAGGAAAAGCAATTAGGTCAATCCTGCAACAAAATGTTCAGATAGAAATAAGAAAAAATCAACAAATGAACAAGAATGGCTTTGGATTCCAAAAAGCACTTTCTTTTTTCTTTGGATTCGTGCCCACACAAGCGCTTACAGAAACACTTTGCCAACAGTCATTATCTAATATTCGTGCGACTTGCCAGCAAAAGTTTTGCATTGATGATACTTCGCTTGATAAAACGGCAAAAGAATTGAAAACTTCGAGCGAGAGGCTGAAAGGGAAACTAAAATCCTACAAGACGTTTCTCTTTAAGCCGCCTGATTTTTTTTCGAATATTATCCCAAACACGAAATATTCTATACCAGTTTTTGGCATGCTTTTCTCAGCACACAACTCATATGTTACAACAACGGAGAAAATAAATGCGATGTGTGATAAAATGGCTGAAGACGAACTAAATTTAGCAATTCTTCGACTTGATCGCCTTGAAAGTGATTTGAAACCTATCAAGTGATTGATCTAAAACCCATTATGCAGATCGCTGCTTATGAGAACTATTTTAGAAAAAAATATGAAACTGTAAAAGAAATGACGCTCTATGTTAAATTGTTTTTATGACATTTCGGGCAAAAGACATGCATCCTAGGCCTGTTCAATGTTTTAGGTAGAAGAAAAGAATATAAATCTATAATTAGTTAGTTTATCCTTTTTCTAAAGTGTTCCAGTTAATTATATTATCTATTAATATTGACTTTGGATAAATTAGGGACGTTTACTTTTAATACGTAAAGCAAGCAGATTCTCTTAAATGAGAATATATGATAGAAACGTTCGCTGAAATGGTTTACTTAAACACTGATAATTTCATAAAGCTGACGATAAAGATTTTGATAAATGTGAGCATGTATTATTACCAGAATCATTGATGATCAGTCGAGCAACATGTAAGTCGTTAATGGGTAATCTTAGGTATGACAACAGACATCTTTTATGATGAATATATGAATGTCAAAATTGATGTAATATTTACAATTTAATGTATTAGATTGATAGTCTGAATTAATAGTTTGAATGTCAAAATAAATGTAATATAATCTGTTTGTTTTTAAAATTGATTATGCTTGATCGTTTGTATGTCAAAATGAATTTAATATATTTTGCTTGCAGTTAAATTAATTAGATTGGAATATAAATACATTGTATGTATAAATCTTAGTTTGGGGACCTTTCTGTTGAAAATGTGTCAGAGTTAAATGGTATACATATACATAGACGTTAACTGGAGTGCAGGTATTAGCTACCCGCCCATTGTTTGGCTCATTTTTGCTGGGGTTTACATATTGTGACCGCAGAGAAAGGGAAAGGGAAAGCGACAGAAAGTTCATATTCAGATGCTCGTTCATTGGCTTCTTTTTTCTGGGGTTTTATATTGTGACAACAGGGAACGTGTTTGTATGTTTAACTATGATACAACAGAGAAAGAACATCAAAACACTCAGCAATCTGATTTATACTTGGGGGCTGCTCCCCCTCGTACAAATCAGAAAGCCTCGTGTTTCGATGCTCTTTCTATTACATATATTTGTTTGCAGTTAAAGTTTTTATATTTGAGAGTATGAATGTAACATTGAATGCAATATAATATGACTGCAGCGCAAATTAAAGATTTAATGCCATGAATGTAAAAATGAATGTATTATACCGTGCTTGCAGTAAAATTTATTAGATTTGATAGAATGATTTGATTTTATAAATGTCAAAATGAATGTAATATATTTTTCTTATAGTTAATTTATTAAATTTGACAGTATAAATGTCAAAATGAGTGTTATCTATATTGCTCGCAGTTAAATTCCTTAAATTTAATAGTATTGATGGAAACTCTGTATTGGCCCCTTATACAAAAAGAAACCAATGTCACCCAATTTTCTTTCACTTCATAACTCATTTCAGAAAAGTAATTTTCATTCCATTTCATTTAGTTCTACCGATTGTTTTCTCGTTTTAGGCACACTAATCATTTTAATTTGGGACCATACGCTACTTATCCTGGAATGGCACTAACGTGTCACATTGAAAGCTCCATGATTACCACCGTTTGAACACATCTATGGATGTTACTTAATTCAAAATGTCACCATTTGCATGTTTAAATGTTCAATTCTGCTATGGCGGTGATAGGAGGTGGGGACGATAACTTGCACATTCCAGTACCGTCCATGAACAGGCTGCAACAGTTTGAATTTTTTTCGTTTTGGACGTTCTTAAGAGATTCCGTTTTTCTATATTAAAAAAAATCATTAGGCAATGACGATATAATTTTTTGTCACAAGATTTCAGTCTTTTACATTTAGCTTTTTTTCTCTCAAATACTCACATCTTTAAATGTTAGAAAAAATTGTACGTTATGTGCCATTATTATGCCCCCTTCAAGGAAGACGGAGTGAATTGCTTAATCCCTATTAATTTTGGGGTCAAAGGTCAAGGCCACATTGCACTTGTAGGTAAAAGCAATTTCCGAAAAATAACTAAAGAACGCTTAGGCCTAGGAACTTCAAACTTGGTACGGTGATTGTTCATCACCAGCAGATAATCCCTATTGACATTGGTGTCAAAGGTCAATGTCACATTGACCTTTTAGGTAAAAACGGTTTTTGATCAATAACTAAAGACCGCTTAAGCCTAGGAACTTCAAACTTGGTACGGTGATTGCTCATGACCAGCAGATGAGTTTTACGTCACATCGACACAGTATAGGTCATATCGCGACGTTCCAGCTTTACTGGTGG